AAATTAATAAAATATAATTATAGAAAAAAAATCTGAAAAAAAAGATCTGTTGTTCAAAGGGTCGCTATGAGTTGTACTTGACTCAATTGCACCTAACAATAGCAACAACAATGGTATGAAAAAGAATTGATTAATGCAGAACCATTTCTTGTGAACAAGAATCATACTAAGGGAAGAAGTCCTAGCTACCTTGAAGCATTGGGGGTGGAAAAATAGGGCTCCCAGTATTTTAGCAAACAGATGCAGTCCTGGACGTGATCATTAGTCTCTGCCAAGAAATTTGAAAGACAACTAACTAGTCAGCCATTTGGAAGAGATACATGTTTGTGCATATTCCCCAAAAAGGTCATCAACAGAATGTGGAAATTATCAAACAATAGCATTAATATCACAGATGCTTTTGTAAAAAGTAAAATCTATCTGAGGTTATTTAAGAATGACTGGGACTGTACATGAACAGAAATTCAAGCTGGATTCAGAAACAGCTGTGGAATGGGGACAGAATCGTTGATATCAAATGGATCTTGAATGAAACAGACAATATCAGAAAGATGTTTAGTTGTGTTTTGTTGCCTACACAAAAGTAAATGAAAATATCACCTGACATGATAAATAAATGTAGATAATGATAAATTATGGATACTATTGAGAAGAACGGGAATTGATAACATATACTTGTTCTCACGTGCTACCTGTACATTTACCTAAAAGCAATTGTTCACACAGAAAAAGGGGATACTGCATGGTTTAAAATTAGGAAAGGGGTGTTCCAAGCTTGTATCCTTTTACCAGACCTATTTGGTTTGTATGCTGAACAAGTAAGCTGAGAAAAAGGACAATGTGAAGAAAAATGTGGCATCAGGATTGGAGGAGAACTCATAATCAACTTGCATTATGAAGATGACACAACCCTACTTGCAGAAAGTGAACCACCAGAGAACTACTGTCAGAGATGAGTATTGAACATGCCAAGAACTGCCAAAAGAAAAAACAAATATAGCAGAGACAATCAAAGAACAAACTTAGAGGAAGTGCACCCAGAGTGCCCCAGAGAAACAAGAAGTGTGAATCTTGGTCTCACATACTTTTGGTATGCTGTCAGGCAGGGCCAGTGCTTGGAAGGAGATGTTATATTTGGAAATGTAGAGAGACGGTCAGAGAAAGAGAGGAAACCCTTCTTCAATGAGATGGGCTGACATATGACTGCATCAGTGAACTTAAATATAGCAGGAAATGTGAGAATGGGGCAGGACAGTGTGAGGTTTATAGAGTCCCTATGATTCAGAGTTGACTTATTGCCATTCAGTAATAACAACAACACTTGTTATTTTGCATTTGTGAAATATATCTGTAGCATAAATTCTAAGAGTTGGAGTGAGAGTATAAATGCTGCAAAATTTATGAAAGTTTTGAAGTTGATCAGTATGGTTTCTCTTTCACGGCAGATTTCCTCCTAGAATAAAAAAAGGTTCATTATAAAGAACAGTTGAATGTTTTTATTCTTTATAATAATACTTTAATAGGTGTTTATTTTGAGATGTTGTTGTTATGTGCCGTCGATTCACTTGTGACTCATGGTGACCCTATATACAACAGCACTTAACTCTGCTCTGTTCTGTGCCAATCGCACCATCTGCGATACACCCATCCCAGTTACCCCAGTCACTGAATCCATCCACCTCATAGAGGGCCTTCCCCTCCTGTGCTGTCCCTCCACCCTCCCAAGATTGATGTCCCTCTCCAAGGACCGGTCCCTCCTCACAACATGTCCAAAGTATGTTAGACGGAGCCTCAGAATCCTTGCCTCCAAGGAGCCGCCAGTTTGACCCTTTCCAGGATGAATCTGTTCGTTTTCCTAGCAGTCCATGTTACCCTCGATACTCTTCTCCAACACCACAGCTCAAAGGCATCAGTTCTCCCTCTATCCTCCCTAGTTATTGTCCAACTCTCTGATGCATAACAAGTGATTACAAAGATCATGGCCTGTATCAGATGCACCTTAGTCTCCAGAGAGACACCATTGCTCTTCAGTACTTTAGAGAGGTTCCTAACAGCAGACTTCCTCATCGCAATACGTCTTTTAATTTCCTGGCTGCTGGTTCCAAGGGTGTTGACTGTGGAGCCAAGCAAACTAAAGCTGTGAAGAATCTCAGTCTCTTCATCACAGAAGAAAAATAATGTTTGTTTTCTAATGATACCATTTTTTCCCTGACGGCTAGGCTTTTTTAAAGGAGTGCTGGTTTCATAGCAGTTCAAGAGCTTGGCTGCGACCTAATTTAGTTTGTGGTTTAAATCCACTAGCTAGGTGAGAGAAAAGTGTGGCAGTATCCTTCTGTAAGTCTTGGCAGGCTGGGAAACCATAGGGAGTTTTCTTCTGTCCTGCTGAGTCTGAATAGACTGCAGTGGATATAGTGTTAGTTTAGGGTTCTGTGCATTCCATGAAATGATTTAAGGAAGGGAGATTGCATGAAGGCATTCATGTGGTTCCTTGTTTTGTTTGTGTGAGAGTGTCAAACTGTGTTCTTAGGGCTTCCAACAACTAACTGATTTTCCAGAAATGAGTTACACACCTTTATTTTAAGGCACATCTTGATGAACTCAAAATGCCAATCTTTTCATTAACGGCTGAGAACTTGAGCATTTACATAACCTAGAGATGTTAAAAAAAAGAAGGAAAAAGATATGTTCATGAAAAACTGAGACAGTAAAGAATTAAGTCAATCACTGACTCCACAGAAAAAAATCAAGAGCTTTACAAGAAAGGAAATATAATCAGTGTAGTTCTTTGTTGTTGTTGTTTTTGTTGTATACAGTCAGAACCAACTCATAGCGGCCCCTCCAGTGGGCTTCCAGAGGCTTGGAAGGAGATGAACAATTAAAAAAGAATAACCTCCTTCATATAATTTAAAAAACTGTTGATTTAAAAAAAATAATCATGATGTTTCTCTTAGACAGAGGCAGAGGAAAATAGAAGGATATTTTCTGCTCTCATAGGAATTAATTAGTGGCAAATGTGTAAAATGGGTAAGAAACATCAGAATATATGACAGAAATTTAGCTGCAAAATTCAGGAGAAAAATCTAGAAAAGTTGACAGTGATTCCCCCCCCCCCCCCCCGGGGAATATAAGTAGTGTCAAATTATCCAATAATCACGGGAAGTAAGCATTTACTTTTGTTTACTTACTGATCCACGTGAAGAGTTGCAAAGGTTTTTCACCAACAGTTCAATACAGGTTAGCAGTACACGCAAGTAATCCAGGACTACTGTTGTGGTGGTTTTTAAAAATAAACTTTCTATAATAATTTTTGCTATTTAGAATCTAAGTATATGTGTTAATTTGGTAAAAGTAAAGACCAACTATAAAAATGATATCATAAGACCGTTTAGAGGAAAATTATGTTTTCATGAAAATATTTTTGAAAGAAGAAAATAAGAAATCCAAGAAGGTGAGAGACATGCATAGCATATACTGCATTTAAAATGGCTTTTATTATTATCTCTATAACAATGTATATTTTTTTCTTTCACAGATGCAGCTATCCTGGTCTCTTGTTGTGCCATTTCTTGGTCAACTGTTGATTATCAGATTGCTCAAAGGAAATCTTTACCTGATAAAAATCTCTTTAAAGGGTGCTGTCCTGTATTCACATATGCTGTTTACAAGTTTTTTACATTATTGTCTTGGATGCTGAGTGTTGTACTTCTGTTAATCTTTAATGTTAAGATTGCTTTATTTCTGTTGTTAATTCTTTGGCTTTTAGGTATAGTGTGGGCATTTAAAAACCAGACTGAATTTTGTGCTTCCAGGTGTATGGAATACTTATACAGGGCTGTTGTTGGGTTCATTCTGGTCTTTACATTTTTTAATGTTAAGGGACAGAATACCAAATGTCAAATGTCTTTTTATTATGTTGTAAAGGTACTAGGCACATTGTGTATATTAATTGTCTTCTGGCTTTACCCACCCCCTATTTTTAATCCAGACTATTTTATACTTGCCAGCATAATAGCAATTCTTACCCTTCTTCTTGGACTTATTTTGCTAATTGTTTACTATAGCACTTTTCACCCAAAAAGAAATGAAAAAAAGAAACCTGATGAAGTTGATGGAAAATCAGTTCTAAATGATTGTAGAATGAGATATTTCCTAATGGCATAAGCTATTAATTTCTGAAGTATGTTTTCTTATTTTGTATTTCATTAGCCTGTTAAAATAAGTTATATGTATTTTTTGTCCATTACTTTTGCCTTGCTTATTTTAAGATCAATCCTGATAGATGATGTGAAGGTGAGAGATAGAATATAATACTATTTTTACTGTTATTGATTTTTCGTTTGGTTTTGACAATCTTGATACTCAAATGTTTGCTTACTGCATGGTATTTTTCTTTTTTGATAAACGTAGTTGTTATTGGGTGCTGTGGTATCACCTCTGACACAAAGCAACTCCGGATCTTCTATATCCCCTGCCCCATCCAGTGCCATCTTCACAATCTCTAATGTGTTTAAGCCTCTTAGTATCATCACTACATCAGTCTGTCTAGATTGTTTTGTAATTATCAGTATAGTATCACTACAGCTCTTACTCTTTTCCTTAGAATTATTTCCACTGTTTTCTTGATTCAATGTCTGTATTTTGAGGGATTTGTTGGTATTTTTATTTTTATTAACTGAATGTGAGTTGGGGATAAACAGTAGAAGAAAAAGGGAAAGGAGAAATTGAGGAAGATAACACTTTTTTTGGAATATTTTTTTATGCTCTTTTCCTGGAATCCTCAGCTCAGTTGCGTACAAAATAGAATTGGTATATATTTGAGAAGATTGGCTTGAGGTAAGAATCTGGGTTGCAGCCCTGAAGTTACGTGGTTCAAATCTGTGAGCTGCTCCACTGGAGAAGGATAGGCACTCTCCTTCTGTGTGATTAACTGCGTTTGGAACTCGACTGTGCACAACAACAACAACGATATAAAATGAGTATTAATTTTCTTTGTGTTAAAAATAGTTGTAAGCAAATATTGTTTTAATAGGTTTGTGCATAATCGTTCTAGCATGAAGTGAATTTTGACCCTTGGAATAAGAGGGAGGACAGCTGGATTTAGTGAAATTTCTGAAAATAGAGCAACATTCTCCACCAAGCATGCTCTTTTTTTTCAGAACTTCACTTTTTCCTCCTTCCACTTTCAGCCCTTATTTAATGAGACCTTAAGTGAATAGCTTTGCCTATTATAAAAATAGAAAATTAAATATTTAGACATAGAATTTGATAGAATACTGCTGATGAGTGAATTTAATGGCCACATCATATTTCAGCTATCAAAGGTGTTTCAAAGATAGCATTCTGTTGTGGATATAAAACACGTTTAAATTTCAGATCTAGACCTTCATAAGGCTACTTATGGAAGCATTTACAGGAATTCTTGGGCTGTCTTTCAAGATGTTTGCGAAAATGTTTGCTATTTTTGTTTTTTAGAAAGGAAACAAATAATAACTTATTATTTGTAATCATTAGTAACAACAATAATTTTATATAATTACAAAAATAAAAATTCAACCTGTTGATATTAAATTGATTAATTTCATAACAATCCCATGTGTGTTAGAACTATATTCCATAGGGTTTTCAAGATTGTGGTGTTTCAGAAAGAGCTCTCCAGGTCTTTCCTCCAAGGCACCTCTGGGTAAGTTTGAAGTGCCAGCCTATCGGCTAGTAGTCTAGTGCTTAACCATGTGCACCACCCAGGGACTTCTGTTCAGTGACACTGAATATAAACAAGTAAGGCATCACTCTCCTACTCTTTGATGAGATTAAGAAGCAGTAACTTATTTGAGTCAGGTACTCTGCAGTTTACCTTGGGTATGCTGCCAGATGTGCAGGCTGGATTTAGAAGAGGTCGTGGTACTAGGGATATTATAGCTAATGTTAGATGGATCTTGGCAGAAAGCAGAGAATACCAGAAGAATGTCTATCTGTGCTTCATTGACTATGCAAAGACTTTTTACTGTGTGAATCACGTTAAGCTATGCCTGACTCTGAGAAGAATGGGAATCCCAGAACATTTGATTGTGCTAATGCAAAACCTATACTTAAATCAAGAGGCAGTCATCAGAACAGAGCAAGGAGACACTGCATGGTTCAAAATCAAGAAGGAGGTCCATCAGGGATGTATTTTGTCTCCATATCTTTTCAATCTGTATGCAGAACAGATCATCTGAGATGCTGGGCTGTATGAGGAGGAATGTGGCATCAGGATTGGTGGAAAAATCATCAACAACTTGTATTATGCAGGTGACACAGCGCCGAAAGCTGAAACTGAGGAGGACCTGAAGTGCTTGCTTCAGAAGGTCAAGGACTGCAGCCTTTAATATGGATTGAAGTGCAACATCAAGAAAACCAAGATTCTCATCACTGGGCCAATTGGCAGCATAAGTATGGATGGTGAAGAGATTGAGATACTTAACAGTTTTAGTTTACTTGGTTCCACAGTCAACACTCTTGGTACCAGCCAGGAAATCAAGAGATGAATTGCATTGGGAATGTCAGCTGTGAGGGACCTCTCAAGAGTACTGAGGAGCAACGATGTCAGGCTGGAGACTAAGGTGTGCCTGGTCCAGGCTATAGTCTTCACAATTACGTGCTATGCATTGGAGAGTTGGACAGTGAATAGGGAAGATAGAAAGAGAATTGATGTCTTTGAGCTGTGGTGCTGGAGAAGAGTGTTGAATACATTATGGACTGCTAGGAGAACAAACAGGTTTGTCCTAGAAAGGGTTAAACCAGGCTGCTCCTTGGAGGCAAGGATTCCGGGGCTTCGTCTGACATTGGGCATGTTGCAAGGAGGGACTGGTCCTTGGAGAGGGACATCGTGTTTGGAAGAATGGAGGGACGGTGCAGGAGAGGAAGACCCTCGATGAGATGGATCGATTCTGTGAGTGGAGTGGTAGGTATGAGTGTGTTTGAGACAGCGAGGTTGGCACAGGATAGAACAGTATTTAGGGATCTTGAACATAGGGTCGCTATGAGTCGCAAGCGACTCGGTGGCACATAACAACAACAACAAACTCTACAGTTCACCTTGGGTGTGTGATGCTTCTATATGGGAAATGTCTTTTTCCAGGTCACTACATCCTAGGCATGTATGCATACATATATGTATGAAGAGGGAAGACACAAAAAAGTTTTAGCAGTGGTTTGTGATATTATTGGAAGCCCTTAAGGTAGAATCGGTGAGTTGCAAACACGTCAGGGACCAAGGAAATCTTCGTAGTCATCAAGTTCATATACATACAAGAAAATGGAACTTAGAGCACAAATGTAGATGAGCAAGTCCTGTCTATGGTACTTTCAGGATGAAAAAGAAATCTATATCATTGTCTAACAGTGATTGACAAATCCTGACAATAGGTATATTTTTATTCCACTACTATTTAATGTAATTATTGATATAAACCCACTGCTTTTGAGTTGATTTCAACTCATGGTACTCCTCTTAGAGCTTCTAAGGCTGTTGGTCTTATCAGGAGAAAACGACTTCATCTTTCTCCCAGAGAACAGCTGGTGGGTTCAAACTGTCAAGCTTTCTGTTAGCACACCAACCCTTAATGTAAATATGTCACCAGGGATCTATCATCTTCTGTTTGCTCCAGTGTGTTTTGCTCCTTTTTTCTTTTTTGCTTTCTGTAAAGAGAACAGATGCAATGTGAGCGTGGTCAGGTCTGACTTACACCTTCTTCATAAAGGGAAACTGTCCTCATCAATACAAATAGCTACATGGGAGACATATACCCTCTAACTCCCAGTGCTCCTGCTCCTATTTCTGTGAATCATTGGGTTCAATGTTTGTTGTAAACTGACTCACAGTTGTGTGGTTTATTAGAGAACTAGGACGGAGAGTAGGAAACAAACAAAAATATCACTCAATGCAAGTCCATGTGTAGTCCAAGAGTCTCAAGCCAGATTAATAAGGCACGATCCCTCTATTTGTGAAAGTCTAAGATCATTTCAGCAGCTCATATGCATGAAGTCTCTGGTGTCCTCAATTATTCATAAAACTTTATCTCAGAGCAGATATATGCCAGCTTTTTCTTCAATCATCCAGCAAGCAAGACCTTTAAGTATGGCTCCATCTCCAGAGTTCCTTTAGTTACACTTTTCCACAGTCTCTTCGCAGCAGTGCCACAGTCTCTTTATCCTCTCTTTACCATCTTTCATAGTGTGAAAAGCACTCTCTTATATTAGTCCTATAGTTGTTGAAAGTCTGTAAGATGGTATGTCTGCAGTTAAGGTAGCTGGGAACCATGCTCTCCACAGGGGCTAATGTAATGGCTAGAAAAGCCAATTTTTAAGGTTTCTGACACTGAACTTTCTCGTGGATTACTGTATTTAGGAGATGGTGCAGCTGGAGTGCTTTCTGGAGGCAAGAATGATGAAGCTTTGCTTCGCATACTTTGTATATGTTGCTAGGAGATGCTATTCCTTGGAGAGGAACATGATATTGGCAAGGGAGGAGGGTCGGCGAAGGAGAGGAAGACCCTCAACCAGGTGGATTGACGTGGTGAGTGCTACAATAGGCTCTTGTGTGTCAGGAAGTGTGAGGATGGCACAGGAAAGAACAGAGTTCAGATCTTTTTTTTTTCATAGGGTCACTATCAATTGTGCTTGACTTGATGGCACCTAACAACAACAACACTAGCAATTGGTATGTTAAGTATTTTTAAAAAATTCTTTTCAGAGTAGTTATTCTTGGAATTACATGTGCCTTTAATTTTTCATAGTCTACGTAAAGTTAATTTGTATCACTTCATTTAAAATTTAAGACACTTGGACTCATATTTATTTACTCTTGTACCAAGAAATCTGGAGGACAACCACCTGACTAACCTGGAAGAAATCTGTATTTGTTCACATTCCAAAGAAAAGTGACCTGACAGAGTGCAAAAATTATCAAACAGTATCATTGATGTCATATGCAAGCAAGATTCTGCTAACGGTTATCCAAGAATGACTGAAACAGTACATCAACAGAGAACTGCCTAAAGTGCAGGTCGGGTTTAGAAGAGGACATGGTACTAGGGATACTATAGCTAAAGTCAGATGGATCTTTGCTGACAGCAGAGAGTATCAGAAGAATATCTATCTGTGTGTCATTGACTATGTAAAGG